TATGAATAAAATCACCGTTTATTGATGTGTAAACGATACGCGTATAGAGTAAACATAAAACATAAACTACTAATACCACTGTCGAATAAACTTGTGCTATTAACCTGAAAGAAATACAATGGATTCTGCACGTCCAGCGCGTGGAACAATAATAATAGCGAGGTAGAAGAGCCACGTCTTCTAGTAGACAATTGTTGATACAKGTATATTGAATTTTTTTTATGATATTAACATAATTTATCACGTACCTATAGCGAGCGTTAAGAGAATAATAAAATACAATTACTATACATACGGCCCATACGGATCGGGTGCAATCACAATACGATTACGCGGTTCGGGGCGGTCGTAAAATCCATCGCAGTTAGGCGCCAACTGTTCAAGCGAGCGATTCGATTTTTATAATATAACAATAATAATAATAATATTATTATATGTATACTGAAGTACTATAATAATAAGCGTGAGGTGAACCTCACTGTGGCCGGTTACAATGTGTGTGTACGAATAGGCGTCGTAAATACGGAAAGGCAGGCGCAGCGACTATCACACACAATACCCATATGGTAGAAATTATATTGTTATGTTTATTGTACATTTTTACTATGGTATTATATTTTATATTCATATTATACGACTCAGATTTAACGATATATAACTACCTACACATGACTACAGTCACTGCTAACGACTTATGAAATATTTTCACTCCGGTTTAATAATACTATAATTCAATTGTATCATAATATTCTATTACTGCTGAACTGCTCAACAGTTTAAAGTATACAAGGACCGCATATTATATTATGTGAAGATTATAAAAAAAAAATCAATTAACAGAGCTCCGTGAAAATTTAACTATGAATATAATATCTTTGATCAATATAACATTATATTCAATATTAAAATACAGTGTAACTTCGATAAAACTCTTAACGGTTTAGTCGGATTTTAGATAACTCAAAGGGACATAACGACATTAATTATGAATAAATAGTACTTTTTTAATAGGTACACTAATTATACACACCTGGTACGCCGATCACACGATGAGTGTTTCGACGGATTTCGTCTTTGATTTCACAGTTTTTCTTTTTATTGTTGCAGGTAACGTGGAGATAATGCACCTGGGAAAATGGGGTTCCATCTGCGATGACGAATGGGACTCAAGAGAAGGCCAAGTGGTGTGCAGACAATTGGGCTACAACGGAACGTCAAGGGTCACGCACAGTTCGCATTTCGGACAAACAGCCAGTAATGACGAATGCCATAATATTATTGAATAATAATAATAATAATATTACCGATGACATCCAAATGGATAATATAGATACTGTTATTTAAGTCCACCGCTGACTTAGTTATAAATTAAAATGCAATTTTTGTAAAGGAAAGTACTGGATAGACAACACTCAATGCGGCGGCCAAGAGCTGGAAATTTCCGAGTGCCGATTTGACAGTTGGGGTGAGAACGACTGTGACCCATCCGAAGCGGCAGGTGTGGTGTGCAATTCGCCGGAACCCGAAAAGYCCAAATATTCTGTGCCCACGGTGACAGTTGCGGCAAAAAAAGTCATCCAAAAGTACAGGATCAAAGTAATCTTAACATTATACCTTCTATTCATTTTTATACATTAATCATATTAGGTATTTCTGTATTATTTATTTTAAATAAAAATTTCACAATTTCACATTCATCGCAAAATTCCATTCTCTAGAGAACATATTTAGAACCTTTTAACTTTCTCATTCTGTTTCTGTCTAATTTAAGCACTTATGTGCGTCCAGCAGGTCCGATATCGGATATTGCATATTGTATAATTACAATCTATTTGTAATCTAAATTTTAGAACATGATTAGTTTTCACTTGTCGGTTTTTTACAATATTTTTATTTTTAAGTGAGTTATGGTTATGTAAAACATTTATAATTGACAATACTCGCGATTTGCTGAAAAATAAATAAATCGTAAAGAGCCAACAAGATAACATATTATAATATWATATTGTCCTTACATTCATCAAGGCATCTTAAATGTTTACTAACTATTATAAATCATAATATAATATCATAAATATTTCGTCGTTTAGCCGATWAACACATGCACCGATACCGGTCGTCGTGATGCTGTGTACGGTTTAGAACTTTTGATGAGCTCGAAAAATATTATATAGTAAATATAAAAMCGTTTAGTACAAATATTACACGAAAAGATATTCTATGCAGGTGTATGATAAACATTTCTTCTGAAATTAGAATTATTAGACACGTCTCGTAAGGCGTACCTATTGAGAGTTCAGCTGGTTATGACTTTATCCTGTTTTTCGTGCACCGCAGGATACTAATTTTGGGTCGGACATCGAATTGCGACTGGCCGGCGGCAGGACTTCGGAAGAAGGCAGAGTGGAAGCAAAGACCAATGACGGTAAGTCCAGCTATATATATATATTGTATCGTACTATCGTTCACAAAACTTTATTTGACGTCTACATTTTAATTAATCGAGGAAAATAATACAACGGACGTAGGTTATATATTATATTATACAATATTATATATTATGTGCACGTTATTTTGATGCATGATATACAATTAAATACACTCGAAAATATGTCCTTGGTAAATATTTACAGTTCGTTAGTAGCGTTGTTCGTTGTTTTACTTAATTTCAAAAGGGTAGTTTTTAAATATCTCTGATATCCGACCAGTGTCCTCGGAATTCAAACGAAAGCGAGTACATTTGTAMATTTTGTGCAGTATAAACAACGATGTTTTATTTACAACCATAATAGTGAAAAAAAYATTTTTCAATAAATTAGTATTATAAGTTCGTTGGTTTTTTTTTTTTTTAAATACAATTATTCTTACTATGAACCTATTTGTACAGCAGTCCACTTGAATTGATCATTTGATTATATCTGTTGACACGAATCGTTATTTTATTAACTTATTCCACGTATATAAATGAAGGCGTGTTTTACGTGCAGRCTATTTTGTTTTGTTTTGTCTTTAATAAARAAATCATAAAATATAAAGTAAGTACAGGGCGAAAGCTTTTTTCAAATGTATTTTTTACTTCGCGTAAAAAGTGATTTGATACATTTTTAAAATATCTATATTGTTTTCAACAAATTCATCAAATATTCAATGCAATTAAAAATACCATTAATTTTAGAACGATGACGCAACGTTATCTTTATCAACTATTTCGTTTCTCTGCAGTATGTTAATTATTTTGGGAGGAGTTTCAGTGTAAGATAATATCTCGTTGACAACTTATATTGTTTYACCAATATATAGTATGTCATCGCAATGGAACTCGAGGAAGGTAAGAAGAAGTTAAAATTACTCTTTCTATTCAATCGAAGTTGAATTCGTTTAATTTTTTGTTTGCATTGCGAGTTGTTCGCAYGAAGCGTGAAAACAAATAATATTATGAAACAATTTAAATAAATATAATATAACATAATATATTATATTAAACCATACAATGTGAAAAAAAAATGAAAAATAAATACACWAAGCATGACGATGAAAATCATTCGAAATTTTAGGTAAATAGATATAGGTATCATTTTTARCAAGTTAGAACGCGTAATTAAAAAGCGTAAAGTMTYACAACGATCATGGTGCTGCAGACAATATTATTAAATTAAAAACGAATATTTATTGAACCCGTTTCGTTTGGCCGTAAGCCTAATTATTATAAACAAATGCAATTTGTTCCCTTTCGCAACGCTGACTAAGTGTTCTTGTCGAACTTCAAGCGTTAACTTAATGAATATAGCAACATTACAGAGCGTATAACTATTTATTATGGCAATACTGCCCCCCCTGCCATCCACTTTCTTCATTGTGCAAATTTACAATATATTGACTATTACATGGTAGCTTATAAATCTGTTGAATTCTGACTAAACGATCATTACCATAACAAATATCTTAAGAGTTGTGCAAAGTTCAAATCCCGGTAATATGTTCATCCGCACGTTCGAGATTGAGAGGAACGCGAAAGACTCTCCAAAGGTTAGGTTAGTTTTTACCGAAGACACTAGAAATCACACGAAAATAATTATGACATAATAATATTTATGTATTACAATAATAATTTGTGATGTATACAAAACACCAGTTTATTATAATATTTTGTTTGATATTATGTTATTTTTACATCTATAACAAATTAGGTATAACATTTGGATATCAGGATAAAGTTGCTTTGTTGAATGTTGATATTACATTTCATTTTACATGACATAAAATTTTGTTGACATTTTTTTTAAAAACAATAGTATTATTATAGGTATAATAATGAAATATTTTTATGTTATATCTTAATAAAATTACACGAAATTATAATAATGACAAAAAAAATCACTTTAATAACAAATTGTTATTTGCAATACTCATTTTTTGTTACGATTGAAATTCATGTAAACAACTGTTAGTTTGGAATAATACAATTACATTATAAACCTAGTTAGTTATATTATAGTATCCTTAAAATCAACAATGATAATGTATTATATAGGGTAGAACACGATTGAGAACGTTTTTACCTGTTAACTTTTATGCAACGTTGTCACATTAATTAAAAATATACAATATATATATAATAGATATCAATTACTATATTTCTTTGAGTTTTTGGTTATAGAATAAACTAACATGAAATTAAATTTGATAAATAAAAATAATCACTCACATCATTGCAAAATCAATACATTTATCACTTATTTCATATTTGTCAGCTTAAGGCAATTTTTTAAGAACAAAATTTAAAAAATTAATATTTATTTACAAAATATTTATATTTTTATTTGTCAGTTTAAGATTAAAAATTAAAAAAAGCAAACATGCTGAAAGTCTTTTATTAATCGTAAAAATTTTTGTTCATTTTATAAACAAATTTAAGATGAATTTTATCAAAAAATGCAAAAAAAAAAAAAATACAAAAAAATCAATTTTAATCAGCAAAATTTCAAAACACCAAAAAAATATGCTCTTAGATCAAAATCCCAGCCCTAAAAATTATTACTAAAAACTAAGATAAATTACAACGTCGCTCGAAAAATCGTTCTCAATCGATCGGATTAATAAGTTATAACTTATAACTTATGAGAAATCATTAGGCCATTAATATAAATTAAAATTACCACTCTTTATAGGGTAAAACAGTGCTATTCGAGGAATTTGTATACACTTTATTTTACCTTGAGTTTTGTCTAACGCGATGAAGTTCTCATTTCTGAGTAAACACAGTTATTATCTTTTTGTCTGACACGCACATAGACACAATGATTTTTAATCCGATTTTAATAATGATAATATTAGTACATTATGCTATGACACATGTTTTAGCCAAAAATGATGAATGAATCGTACGCGATATCATTATAAAAAATATAAAAAGTTTCACCCCGTCACTGGACGCTAATGATTTATACTTTAGTAGCATGCATGCACCTCTGATATTAAACACTTGATTTATTTTTTTTTCAAAAACGATCTTTCATACTCATACTATAATAATTGTATTATACGATTTATACGTACCTAATATTATACTTTGTTGCGAAACCATCAAAATACTCGAATCCATCTGCGAGTACACGTCGTCGTCAAATTACTAAAATTTGAAAATTTGTATTTTTACAAAAACTTCCAAATTCCCAAYGGGCTTTTAAAATAAATGAAAAATAGTGGAAATATAGGATTTCGTTTTTCGACAATAACTCATAAAATAACACTATTTATATAGTAGTGTCAACATAAAAATATGTTGACATGAAAAACTAGCGGAGAAAAAAAACGATTTTCAAAACAACACAGCTGGGACGTTAAATTTTATTTACAATCATCAGTGTGGTCAGAATGTCTTTGACATATTATGCCGTTGGTACCGAAAGTGCGATTCAGACCGCGATCTTWCGATGATAAAATGTTTCAAAATATTATAGTTTATCCGGAAGTTGTTTATCGTGGTTCGAAATAATTATTATAATACGGACATCAGACGCCTATAGCTATTCGTTGAATTTGTGTGAAAAAATTTCCGTGTGCCCCGTGACCTCGTTACGTAGCCGATTGCGGCAATGCGGATAAGCCCATATCGAACGTACAAACTACAAGGCGTATATAAATTCGCGTTGCGGCCGTATATATTGTTCTTAAATTTTTTTTTCCCTCGTCCTAATCGAATCGCAATGCGCATACGAAGTGCGAACGACCACGATCGGCATGATCATCGCTGTTATTTTAACGTTTGTATAACCATATTACTGGCACACATGAATTTTTTTTCTCTCGCAGCTCCCCGGAATTCTGTAGACTCGCGCACCTTAACGATACGACCTAGGTATAACGCGGTTATATATATATATATATATATATATACTGATCCGTGTGCCGAATAAAAATCCGAAGTCGGCGTGAATTATTTAAAAGCAGTGCATACCCGCATACGTGGAAACTTGGTAATCTGCAAATTCCGTAACAATATTTATCGGATACGTGTCAGATCGGCGCCATCGGATACGACGATACGCGTATATACGTATATTGCAAACTTTTTCGTGACTCTTCGGCGATATTTCTACTGCAGATAGGTTAGAGATGTCGTACAGATATTCACGAACACGAGGTGGGGGTGGCGTCACTTGATTGAGTTTTATTTATACTTTGGAACACGCGGCGTCACCGAACAGGGGAAAGAGTGCCGTCTCGAGTCACGACTATGATAATAATAATAATATATACCTGCCTAACGTATAATACTTCCCAAAAGTTTTTATTCAATTTGCTCGGCGGAAAACTATCGAAAAAGCACATCGGGTAAACATTATACACCGAGACAAACAAAAGAAATATCCATCGGCTGTTCGCTTATACAGTTATACGACGGGTACGAAGTATATATATATATATATATATTATATTTTATGTCTTTGTGACGTCTTATATCGATGACGTTTGATCTCGTCGGTGAAAAAAAATATACAATAGATTATATATATGTATACAACAACTAAATATAATATTCCGATATTATAGTGTTATAACGAACGCGGAAAGTTTCATTTCGACGAAAAACGCGACAGCGGTGGCCGAGTTATCTCTAAAAGAGAAAGAAAAAAAGAAAACGAAAAGTTTGCGTGGAACGCGGGAGGGAATCGAGTTTTTCTCGCGCGCGTTGCGTTGATGGTTTCTGGGTAGGCGGAAAAAGAAGACTGTGGGAAAACAATGAGAACGAAATGGTCTATGTGTATGTGTGTGTATGTATTATAGAAGTAAATTCTAAAATGTTTTTTCCAGTATTCGGGAGGGCACGGGCATTCGAGAAGGTCGTTATTGTTCTTATCGATTTTCAAAAACAAAAAAAAAAAAAAACCACTATAGTTTATATTATAGTTTATATTATACACA